TAATTAGTTCATGGGTTCTTTGAGTAAGCAGAGAGCTACAAAACCCATTTCTACAATGAAAAACCGGCTTAGCCAAATTGTCTCATTGCAAACAGAACTTTTATTTTGCTTAATTACAACAGACTGCAGCATTGTTTTCCTAAGCATTTACCAGACAATCTTTAGTAGAGCANTTTAAAAAATAATGGCAAGAGGGAATCTAATTAGTTCATGGGTTCTTTGAGTAAGCAGAGAGCTACAAAACCCATTTCTACAATGAAAAACCGGCTTAGCCAAATTGTCTCATTGCAAACAGAACTTTTATTTTGCTTAATTACAACAGACTGCAGCATTGTTTTCCTAAGCATTTACCAGACAATCTTTAGTAGAGCAATTCAAATGAGCTCTGTTGTTCTGGGATGCCTGGGGAGGAGGAGGGGGGGCTGCGCGCAGGCAGAGCCCTCTATTAAAAAATCAAATATTTTATTTTGTACTTGAAAATAAAGGATTGTTCATGTAGGTTCAGCATGGAAATCAAAAGCGTTTGAATTGTTTGTTCTCTTTTTTTAATTAGGAGAGGGAAGAAAAAAACGATTCGAGTCTGAATCCAAAGATGGAACCTAGTTGCGAAAGAAGGGAGGAATGAAAAAATAAATTTAAAAAACCAAAAGCGCTGTACATCTGCTGACATTAGCAAATGTTGAATTGGCTGTGTCAGACTTAAGAAAGCTACAAGCAATAATCAGATGCCAATGATTTTCCTTTTATTCAGCGCGAGGGTGTGTGGAATACTCATGAGGAATGAAATGTGAAATTCCTGCATATTTTTTTTTCTAACGGAGTCACTCCCCCTCTCCCCAAGCTGGGACAAATGTAGCAGGACCCACTGGTGCTGCTACCAGCCAAAATGAAGGATAACCTGTTGTTCTAGCCTCACACACACACACACACTTGAAAAAAATTGGAAAAGAGGAGAGAGACCTAGCTTAAGGCGAAATGGAAAGAAGATAGTCTTAGAGAGAGAGAGAGAGAGAGAGAGAGAGAGAGAGAGAGAGAGAGAGAGAGAGAGAGAGAGAGATATGGAAACTTAGATGAGAAGAGGGATGCTAAAATTATGGTTTATGATAGTTTTTGGGGTGCCTGGAGAAATTTTGGGAGATTGTTCTTGATTCCATTTTGCCCAAAGAAGGGCAGTCTTTCCCAAGCTGGACCCTTAGTGGCCTTTGGCTTTATTTATTTATTTGTATTCCGCCTTTATTATTTTTACAAATAAGAACGAAGTGGCAAACATATCCAACGGACCATCTTCCTCCTATTTTCTCCATAACCTTGTGAGCTGGATTGGGCTGAAAGACATCCAGATGGCTTTCATATCCAAGGTGGGACTAGAATTCACAGTCGCCTGGTAATTGGTCCAAAGCCACCCAGACGGCTTTCATGCCTAAGGCAGAACTAGAACTCACAGTCTTCTGGTGATTAGTCCAAAGTCACCCAGTCGGCTTTCATACCCAAGGTGGGACTAGAACTCACTATCTCCTGGTGATTGGCCCAAAGTCACCCAGCCATCTTTCATGGAATTAAACTCACAGTCTCCTCCAGTGATCCAGTATACAAGCCTGGCTTATACACACATAGTTTGATGTTTATCAAATCACATTTCTACTCTGCTGGATAATAAAAGCCATGTTCTCTGGAGGGAATCACACAATGTGTAATTATTGTAGTGGCCCATGGCACCACAATGTTTTGTTTTGACAACCTCTGAAATGCAAAAAAAAAAATGTAATCCAGCTTCTATAGATTAAGGAGATTGCATTGTTAGACATGTCCAACTGGTGACTTATTTCATATTTTGGATACAACATCTCGAGGAAGGGACCCCCCCCACACACAAAAAAAACCCATAAAAAGATGCACTCTGATTATTCTAAAGGACTAGCTTTTGTTCAGAACAAAGCTGAAATTCTAAATACAAAGTCAAAGAAAAAAAAGGTGATTTTAAAAGTCTTATCAAAGTCTAATTGAACTTTTAAAAAAAAAAAATAGGATGCCAACTTATTATAGGTCTTGAGAGGTGATCTATTGACTTTTTCAAGCAGGCAACAGAAGCCATCTGCAGCATTCTATAGGAAGAGGAACTTTATGGAAAATGAAAACAGATGGACATTTGCATGCAAAAGACCCTTCACTCAGTCCTTGGCATATGCAAGTAGACATGGCATTAAGCTCTGCACGCTGAGCTTCTAAATAAGGAATATGTTGCGAGGTTTTAATAAAATTACATAATACGTATGGCAAAATGTAAATAGTAGATTATTAGAACAAACTGTAATTCATTTAAAAACTATATTTAAATAACCTTTCTAAGCAAGTGTGTTTGCTAGAAGTCATAAATAGCATTTGGATTAAGTTAGTCATTGCTACATCCCCCCGGAAATTAATGGTATTCCATTCAGCATAGTGACACTTCCCATGAGTAACTTAGTTTGAGTTATAGAAATTAAACACTATCAATTTTGAAATGTAGCATTAAAAAGACAGCAATGGAATGGTATATTAATATAACCTCAAAGAAATGATATTAATAGTATATTAACTAACATTTATTTTTTATATTTATGGGACATTTCTCTCAAGATTTTTTTTTTTTTTTTTTAAGTGGCAGGGAAGGAAACTGGCTGCATTTACCCATACATTAGTTACATTCAATGGGATTGAGCAGTTGTCTTCCCCAAAATAATTTTCATATATATATACTCTGGGTGAAATGGACAAAAATATGTCTCGCGTGTTGGTGGGACTGAAAGCTAAAGCGTATGAGGAATGGTTGTGGGAACTGGGTATATCTAGTCCAGGGTTAGGCAACTGTGGCTCTTTTATGACTTGTGGATTTCAACTCCCAGAATTCCTGAGCCAGCCATGCTGGCTCAGAAATTCTGGGAGTTGAAAACCATGAGTCATAAAAGAACCAAGGTTGCCTACCCCCGGTCTAGACTGTAGCCTAATGAAGAAAAGATATCAGCCTTCCAATATTTGAGAGGCTGTCACAGAGAAGAGGGGTTCAACCTATTCTTCAAAGCATCTGAAGGCAGGACAAGAAGCAACTGGCAGAAGATCACCAGAGGTAGAGCCTACCTGGAACTAAGGAGAAATTTCCTGACAGTGAGAACAGTAAGTGGAATGACTTGCCTCTAGAAGTTGTGGGTGAAGATTTTTAAGTAGAGATTGGACCACCATTTGTCTGGAATGTTTTAAGGTCTCCTGTTTAATCAGTAGTTGGACTAGAAGATCTCCAAGGTCCATTCCAACTTTGTTATTCTGTACAATATTTTGCTGATAGTTTTCAAGGAATGCTGAAGAGGTTTTTAAGGGTTAGTTCAGTGGATGAACTCTCCCTATATTTAACGAGCAGAAAAGACCTTGGCCTCTTCCAGCCTGATAACTGCCAGCAAAGCAAGTCAACTAGAGTACTAATCATATGCAGGACTCTAATAACTTCTTCTCTTCCCCACTGGATTTTATTTTTTTTTTCTTTTCCTTAATAAGAGAGTGTGACTTCCAATTTCCCTTTTTGTATTTCTTTTCAAAACTTCATTTTGTACTCTTTCTCTCTCTCTCTGCTCCACTCCAAAGGTCAGGGGGGAGGAACACCAAAACTCTGCAAATATTGAAGTGAAATGAACATATGAAATGGCAATGTGATGGTTTATGTAGGAAACCTTCTTTGAATATATTGTTTCCCATGTCTCCATCCAATTCCTATATTTTCTGGTTATGTCAATATTGAGCTTGTGCTGGCTGGCTAGTTGGCAGGAACACTGCACATTAAGCAGGACATAGCTACTGCGGGATTTTGTGATAATACCACAGATCATGACTAGATGCAATTGAGAGAATTGGCCTCCAGGAATAAGCTACTATGGAGGGCTACCCCTAACACATTTTAAAAGCAATCCCTTAATTCCTCCGAAGGCCACATCAACAAGAAGTTTCCACAGATCTACAAGGATTTATAAAACATATCTTACTTGAAATCTTTTGACCTCCAAATTTCCCATACTGAGCTTGGAGCTTTTCACATCCTACTGGTAATCTTCTACTCCAGAAATTTGCCCACTATAGAAGAATGGTCACTTAAAGTCTCAAATTTAGCAGAAATGGCCAAGATTTCCGCTTATGTGAAGGATTATTCACAAGAAAGATATATTTCGGTCTGGAGAAGATGGATAGATTATATTGAGAATAAATATGGGACCAAAAAGTTCCATTTGGTTTTTGAGTGAATTTTAGAGTATTATTGTTGTTAATATGTTACAACAGTTTATTTATCCTTATTATTAATTACTAATATGATATTATTATTATTGTGTTTAATTTTAATATATTTTATGTTAAAAAGAGAGTTAAAGGATTTTACAGATTTGTTATTCTAATAGTTGATTAATGTTAGTTAGAATACGATTGTCCTATTGTTAACCCTGTGATTAGCTCTGGGAAGTGGGGGGGGAGGGAGGGGGGAGGGGGAGGGAGGGTTTTGGAGCAGGGGGGAATTATATTGTAAAACTTTTATAAAACTTTTAATAATAATAAAAAAAAGAAGTTTCCACAGATCTACAAGGATTTATAAAACATATCTTACTTGAAATCTTTTGACCCCCAAATTCCCCATACTGAGCTTGGAGCTGTTCAGATCCTACTGGTAATCTTCTACTCCAGAAATGTCCTAAACTCAAAATGCCCCCACTTTTAAGTAATGATCTCCTGTGTTCCTTTTGAAAACAGAACTTCTTGACGGAATAAAATAGCCCTGGAACGATCAGAACGAAACATGTGCAATTCCTGTAAGGTTGGGAAAAACACATTCCAATCTCAAACTAAAAGTTTCAAGATTGGAAGATTTTGGATTTAAAAATATGTTGCATGCCTGCGATGGAAAGCCTCTCTTCTCTTTTCATACCAAAGGGGTATCTTGCTTTGATAGGTTGTAAGCAACCAAAGGAATGAATCGTGCTTGCACCAACCTGACATTGCTGGAAGTTCAGGTATTTCTAAAACAGAAGTCGTAATGGAAACACGGGGAGGGAAGAAAGGGAGTGAAGGAAAGCAAAGGATAAAGATGTAGTTCGTATTTGCAGACAGTTCAATGAACAGATGGCTTCTTAGACAAATGGCCCAGTTTATGAATGAAAAAGTATCCAGTAATAACATTATGGATGTGATAGACATGACAGCATGCAAGGCAAAACACTGGAGTAGACGGTGGTCATCTAAAAATTGAGAGTAGGCAGAAGACAACGCAACTTGTGTTAGCTTTGAAAACCTGATACTGGAAATTGTCTTGGGTGTTGAGATCTCATAATCTGTGCTTTGAAAATGCAGAATTTGGGATAGAAAATTGGCCTTGTTGTCTCAGGCACCAGCTGCAAATACGCTTGACTTGATTTTAAGATCTCATTTCTGATGTATGCAATACACTGAACTGTCCATGTTGAAATAAAGGAGTAAAATAAGCCTTCCCTCCCCAAAAATAATTATAGGAAACATTAAACAAATAAACATTTTGGGCAAATGAATCTCCTATAATCCTAATTAAGTAGGATTTTCATGTACAATTACAGGGTCCATCAAGCCCCAAATCCTATCCTGAACTATCACTAGATTAATGGGACTATGACTACAGGAGCATGGTTGAAGGAACAGTTAATCTTAAACTCAGTGGAGTTTTTACTGGACCAACTTCAACACTCTTAAGGTTTGAGAAGATACTGCACTGAGCTTCCTTTTAAGTAACTACTATGCTTCACATCTTACTGATGCAATCCTTGTTTCTAGAGAAATTAACTCTTGAAATACCAAACGATGCAAACTTTGTAAAACAGAATCTGCAGTTTCCCAGTCAACTCTAAAAACCTAATTTTGAGCCATCCTAGTGATCTCATCATATATTGTACATTTCTCCACACACCATGCAATGTGGATACTCATTAACTTTTCTGCTTCTCTGCAAGATGCTTTAAGAATCAGCGTCTCAGACTAGCTCCTGTCTTATCTGTCCCTTTTTGCTAAATTTTCTCCTGTCCACAATTTTGTTCTTGTTCCACCTTCCATTAAAGACCTGCATATATTCCGTTGATCTGTGTACCTACCATACAGAATTATACTGGCATTGGTGTTTCCCAGTTTGTTGATGGCCACACAAGTATAATTGCCATAGTCCTTCTCTGAGACATTAAAGAAAGTTAGTGTGGACATCCGTCCTTTGTTTTCAATTTTCAAGCCATCCAGCCCATTAGCTAACCTGCAAGGAAGACAAGACAATGAACTTAGATTAATATATAATAATCCAGAAGTGGAATTCAGTTGCTTTCAAGCTTCTAGACTGCAATTATTCCTCAATGTAAATCTTACCCTTGGTCCAATAGATTGACATAGGTGGTATTTATTTTTTTCCAGCACCTCTTTGAGGTTTGTTGGATGGATCTTTAAGGTCCATTTTCAAGTTTAAGGGGGGCATTGAGGTTTATTCTCATCCATTTCCTATTCCAGTGTTCTAGCCAGTTCAACAATTTCTCCCCACTGCTCTGTTTTTCAGCAACAGATATCTATTACTTTATTTGTTTCAGTTCCAAATCCTTGAAAAGCCATCAGCAGCTGAAGGTAGACTATAATATCCTCTGTTGATCAAACACTATATAAGGTAATTTTCTATGCTCATCTTAAAGAAAATATTATTAAAGATTGGAATTAATTTGGGTGCATTTAAGATAAATTTAATATAACAATATAATTTAATATTGCTGATGCCCATTTGTGCCTAGGATACACAATGATCCATTTTAATTACTTTTTTTTTTAAAAAAAATGAGAGGCATGCCTGAAATTTGTCTTAATGCAGACATCAACTGTTTCCTCCAACTGTGTGGATTTCACTCACAGATGTCCTAAAAAGCATGGCTGTTGCTGAGAACTCTGGGAACTGAAATCCAGATTAGAGAAGGTATAACAGGACAGAGGAAATCCAAATGAGAGCACCCTTTAGTTATGGAGATTCTCAGTCATCCAGGTAATGGTTGTCCCAGAGATGCTTTTTCAGGAGGCAACTGGACTTTCTTGTTTTTCTTTGAAGATGTTTTGCTTCTCATCCAAGAAGCTTCTTCAGCTCTGACTGAATCGTTCCATTCCTCACCATCCAATCAGAGCTGAAGAAGCTTCTTCGATGAGAAGTGAAACGTCTTCAAAGAAAAACAAGAAAGTACAGTTGCCTCCTGAAAAAGTGTCTTTGGGACACTCTCTAGTTATTTCACTGTCATCAGGGCGGAGTTTAGAATTCAAATGTATTTCCAAATCTGAGACAATGCTCTAGGTCAGGGTTAGGCAACCTTGGCTCTTTTATGACTCGTGGACTTCAACTCCCAGAATTCCTGAGCCAGCAGGAATTCCTGGCTCAGGAATTCTGGGAGTTGAAGTCCACGAGTCATAAAAGAGCCAAGGTTGCCTACCCCTGCTCTAGGTAAAACTGCTGATTTGACTGATAATATTCCCTTAGGTCAAGAAAGCCATTTCTTCCCAAGGACATACATCTTCCATTCTTAAGTTACTGTGGTAGCTTTCAAAGACTGCTTGGGTACCTGGTTTCTTCTTTAAACCACTGAAATTCTGCTACGGGGACAGCTGAGGCCTCACAACGCAAGATCCCTTTCTGACCAACTGAAACACCAGTATTCTTAGGACTGGAGATGGATGGAGGATCTGTGGAGGAAAAGGAGGTTTATTTCAAACTCTTTCAGATATTTTCCAGGTCTCCCCTTGAATGAATCCTGACGGCAAACAGAATCAGTTGGAATCAAACTCAGGAATGTTGAGGGGACAATGATCCTGCACGTATAGAAAGGGAAGTAATTTAGTCTTCCCCATCCTGAGTTTGTTCAAATGTATGGCTCTACAAGCTCCCGGAGGCCCAGCTGAATTAAAATGAGAAAAGTTCCTTCAAAAAGAAAACCGGACAATGCAGTTGGACTTACCCACAAACAGTTTTCTGATCACCAGGTTATGGACAAGAATTTGAAATGATTCCAGGACAAGATAGAAAGATAAGAAGGGATCTATGCTTAACGTGATGTAGTCCAGATCTTCTCTAAATAGAACCCATTGATTAGGAGAACCTCAGAGTGATGTACAAAAGTGGTAACATGCTAACATTAACCCAACATAGGTAGGGTTGCCAGGTGTCCACTATTTGAGTGGACAGTCCACTTTTTTCACATTATGTTCACTATTTTTTTTCACAAAATAGTGGACATTTTTTAATTCAAAAGCTTTATGATGAAATGGTACGTAATCTAAAGCTGTACAGTCTACTTTTTTTACTACTTAACACCCCCCCCCCCTCCTGCTTGTCTGCTATTTTTTGGAAGCAGACCTGGCAACCCTAAACATAGGCCTTTCAATGAAGTCAGATTAGGAAGCTTTTCTGTGTATTTTTTCCAAGGGGTTGGGGGGGGGGTGATAGCTCTTGAATCACCTCCAAAATGCCAAGACCCTTTCAAAATACTCAGTACCTATTTTAAACTGAATAGTTCCGTGTTCTTCATGCTTCACATTGCTAATGAAGCTTTTAAAAAGTGATTGTCCAGAAGGGCAAAAGGCATGAAGCCTAATTAAACCTACACATGTGATGTTCTTATGTCAGCTTGGCATAAATGGACTTCCTCATGCTTCTCATGAAAGGTGGAGATTGCTTAATCTGTCGTGCGTGCACGGCTAAGCATCGGCCGAATTTCTCTCCCACTGTGTTTTAATTTTGACTTTCTCTTCAGAAGAAAGTAAAGGAGTTAAGCGAAGAAGACAACAATCTCTTACTATGTATTCTCCCAGCTGCTACAGTAGAGATGAGCTATTTTATTTTGGGGATAATAGCTAGGAAATGTCAAGCTATTAATTTATAAGAACTGTATGGCTAGATGGCACACCTATAGCTTAGATCCTGGAGGTGTTGTTCTAATAGGATTTATAAACTTGGTGGAATAAGAGTGTTATTTTGCTGAATGTTCTAACATAGCTAAGAGGCAGAACATGTTTCTGCATGCATGGCGTCTTTGTTGTGATACCTGATACTTGAAAAAAAAAATAGATACAGAATTGATGAGGAAGATGTTTTCCCTCTATGGAGAAGTTTTGTAGGAGTCAGAAAGAAAGGGCTACAGAAAAACATCTGAACCATTCTGAAAGAAGCCCACATTTTAGATGCATTTTGTTTTTTTGTTTTTTTAAAAATGCAATCAAAGTGCAAATAAATATGATCAGAGATCATGGTGATCTAGCCCTCAAGTCAAGAAAGACCCAGAAGTGTTTTGGAAAATATTAATATCAATGGTAAAACAGGCTTACACACTAATCAATAACTTTAAAATGATTACACCGGTTTGCTTTGTTTTGAAACATGACCTCTAATGCAGAGGTCTCCAAAATTGGCAACTTTAAGACTTGTGGACTTCAGTTCTCAGAATTCCTCAGCCAAACATGTTGGCTGGGGAATTCTGGAAGTTTTAGTCCACAAGTCTTACAGTTGCCAAGGTTGGAGACCCTTGCTCTAATGCAGGGGTCTTCAAACTTGGCCCTTTTATGACTTGTGGACTTCAACTCCCAGAATTCCTCAGCCAGGCATGCTGGCTGAGGAATTCTGGGAGTTGAAGTCCACAAGTCATAAAAGGGCCAAGTTTGAAGACCCCTACTATAATGAATGAATGGCAGGCTGGCTTAGATATGCTTATGACATTCCTAATGAAACCACTGCCAATTAACCATATCTAATGTATAGAAGCCGGAAAGAAATTTACTAGGTTCACATATATTCCACTTAGTTGTAAACCAGTATTTACAATCCATAATCATTGGATTCTCACAGTGCTAAGCCATGTTTGAAGCTTAGCATGTCATGTGAACCCAATCAGTTTCTAGTTTTCTCAAGGCATCTCAGAAAATCAACTTGTTTTTTTTCTGGGCTTGTTGATTTGAACTCAACTGCCTCTGTTTTGGGAATAAAACTTAAGCCCATCGTTCCAAGTTAGCTTGGAATTCAGTAGTGAAGGCTAATATAGTAGCCCAGAGGATGGGGTAGGAAAACTACAGTTTACTGATATAAGCCTAATGTCACGGTTTAGTTTTGGAAGAAATCTCACCGAAAACCCAATGAGAACAATGGCTCTTGCAGTCAGAGCTTTATGCAGCAGCTTTAAGCAAACTCTGAAACCGTTCCATTAAAACCTGCTTATTCAGTAAGAGTATAATTTGAGTAGCATGCCTTACACCAGCATTTCTCAACCTTGGTGGCTTGAAAGACGGGCAGACTTGAAGTCCACGCGTCTTCACTGCAGCCAAAGTTGTGAAACACGGCCTTACACAATTATTGCAAACAATATAATGACACCCATGCATCTTGCTTGAAAATGCCCTTTAGAAAAATCTATTGCTCTGTGAAAAATGACTAGGCGTGGAGGTTGGCTTACAGTTGACGGTGACCTTCACCCTCCGAATATCGGGCGCTGCCACGTCATTAACCGCTGTGCATTCATATTCACCAGATTGTTCTCTTGTGATGCCCGTAATTTCCAAGTATTCATCATCACTTATAAATCCCTGACCTAGAACAGAAAAGGGAAAGAAATACAGAGAAGATAAAACTATGGCTTCAGTTCTCTTTCACTTTTTGCAGTCAGAATTGTGTGTGTGTGTTTTTAGGTAGGGCCGACTGTCAATCATTTCTGGGTGGACTAAAGTGGGTATGATAAATTATTCAGCAGATTCTCTGGAATGGGAGATTTTTGCTTATTTTTTTCCCTTGGCAATTGGCCTGTTATTTTACATTCTCCGCTGCTAGGATGGTGATGATGTGGAAGGAAAGTATGCAAACTTTGAACATATTTGCAAAAAGGTGTCATAAAATATTTTTTTCCTTTTATAGAAAAAATACAGATATTTTCCAGGGAGGCAAAAGGTGTCTTTTGAGAAAGCTCGGTTCAAGTTAGCAAGTTTAAGATTTTTGGAAGATTTAACAGATAATATTGGGAATAGATTTAGGGCCTCCACCAAATTTTCTGTTGCACTTTTGGGTTAGTCAAATACTCTACATGATTACTTTTCGTTTTTTCTTTAAAAAAATATGCATGTATGCAAAGGCTTGGTGGTGTTTAATGTGTGCTAATGTTTAAGAATTCAACAAAAATTAACTCCTCGTTAGAAAGAAAAGGTTCCAATACCTTATTTTTCTTTTCTTGCTACACCACAATGCTGGGATGAAAATGTCTTTTTTAAAAATAAATATGTTCTTAATTTTCATTGCAGCCAAAGGAAGCTGCCCTTGCTGATTAACCACCAAATTGTCCAAAGAACAGCAACTTGTGTTGTGATTATTCTGCTATTTGCAATGGTTAAAACTCACAACTCAAGGTGTTATTTCTGAAAATGAAACAGGTTGGCTTATCCTGAATGACAGTAAATGAAAATGATGCACCTACCAGACACTCAATGATTTTTTCTTCGACTGCAAGGCATCAACAAAGCTAGTATGGGAAGTCAGCCCCCCCCCCCGAGAAAGAAATATTTTTGGGAATATTAAAAGGCAGAATATTATATTTCTCCAAAGGATCTTAAAGGCAGAAACCAACCACCCCAATGATTCTCTGCCCCAAACAGAAACCAGGTCTTGCAGAAATGCAGATGTGATAATCTTGTCAGAAAGATTGGAGTCAGAAAGCTGTTATTAGAAAGAAAGATCCCTAGAATCAACAATCCCTCACACCAAAAAATCCAACAGTCATCAGCCACAGCCCCAGGGAAGCAGGATATGACCTTTGGGACATAATAGGATTAACCCACCACCATCAGAATACCAGAAAGGCACACTCAGACTCAGGTCAAAGTTCATGCCACAGGAACAACTCCAACAAAAGCTCAAGAAGGTATAAAAACCCACTACTCCCTACTACATGTGGTCAGCTTTCCCAGAGTCATCTTTCTGTCTGGCTCTCCTCTTCAAAAAACTACAACCTTCTTTCTAAAGCAGTCTCCATTTTGCTTATTCCCAGCTTGGACTGGACCCTGATGAAGATTTTTCTTTCAATACTGGTGTTATGTATTCCTGATAGCTAAACACCTAAGAAACTAGAATATTCAGATTCACAAGTTTAATATTTGCTGAGCCTGCAAATTCATGTTCTCTGATTTAGCCCTAGGGCAACAGAATGGATTAAATTGTTCCTCTAAGTTGGAGACAGTCTTGGACAAAATACAGTGCCACAGATATCTTTTCCTGTCCCTTAGAGACCCTCTGAGGTTGTAGTTGTTGGACACATCATCTAACAGAGTGTACTTTTGCAATAGATAAGCATTACCCGGAAATAAACCCTGAAGAGCTAAACAATGGATATCAAACATGTTTAGCTTTTGCTTTCTTTTCTTGGCTGTCCTTTGAACAACCCCCTTGCAATATGACCTGAAATCTCCACGGGTTCTCCCACTGTACCAACACTGTTTAACAATTTTCAGCTCTCAGACCCCCAGGAAAATACAGGAATACAGGCATAAACCTTGCCCATTCTTCTCCAAAAAGGCTGCCATATTAAAAAGGGGGGAGTACCCCCCTGCTGCTCCAAACAGAACATGGCGATTGGAGAGGCAGTTTTTACCACCATGCTCAACATCATTTCCTGCTGATTCACATCCACCACTCTCACAGAGCTTTTGCCAGGAACAAAAGGACGCTGGGATGTAGCTAACACAAATATTGCTTAGGTGCTAACCAATCTGGGGCTTCTTTCATTCTACCTGATTTTGAAAAAACAAAAGAAAACAAAACAAAAACCCTACTCTAATATTTGAGCTTAGGTAGAACTTGAAGTTTAATATAGAGGTCAACATAGAGGACACTGTTCCAGCCTTTTGCAGAGTTTATCTGTTGTAGATACCAGAACAGAACAGAACAGAACAGAACAGAATAGAATAGAATAGAATAGAACTGGAAGGGACCTTGGAGGTCTTCTAGTCCAGCCCCCTGCTCAAGCAGCAGAACCTATACAGTCTCAGACAAGAATTGGTTCCAGAAATTGTTTCAAAGAAGGCAAAAATAACCGTCCCCTAGTTTGGTCTTTTGAGCCTCATAAATATTCCTCCTTGGTTTGGAAATGTTAAATATTTCTAGGCAGTGAGAAACTGATTGCATGAAATGCAAGAGACTTTTTCTGCCTCGAAGAAGTAAGCAGCAGGACAGAGATGATAAAGCACTGTTGACTCAGGGCAGAAGGGAGGAAGCAGTTTGAGTCTGAAACTGTAAAGATGGCAAAATAACAAGGGGTGGAAACCTATGAAGAGGATGAATGCTGGGCTGGCTTTGCAGGGGAACCTTCTCTGTAATGATCTAATAATCCTGAGGTCATTGTGGGTCCGTCCTATCCTCCAGCTGATCTCTATAAAAGATAATTGGATGTGTAACGAAATAGATTTGACGAGCCGGTGACAAAAATAAGTAAATGACAGAGATGGTTTCTTTTCAACATGGAAGGGGCCGCAGGAAAAAGATAAGCTCTGTGAGATAAGTATCAAGAGGGATACAAATGATGACTTTCAGATGGAGAGGATGTGATGGATACCAGGCCAGGTTAGGGTCAAAATCTTATTGGCTTACACCACAACAGGAGAACCCTTCATTTTCTGCTTGGTCTAAATGGGAAACACTCACATGCACAGAGGCAGCTTGGTGGAGATTCTGCTCTTTTGTTAATATTACTTCTGTACATTTGCCCTTCATAAGACATTATCTAGTAGTAGTAGTAGTAGTAGTAAAAGTACTAGTACCACTTCATAAAGCCCTAGAAAGACCACACCTGGAATACTGCAGCCAATTTTGGTCACCATATCATACAAAAAAGAGGTTGAGAGTCTGGAAAAAAATCAACTAAGATGATCAAAGGCCTGGAGACCAAAACGTACGAAGAACAGCTGCGGGACTTGGGTTTGGCTAGTCTAAAGAAAAGAAGAAATAGGGGAGACATGATAGCAGTATTCCAGTATCTGAGGGGCTGCCACAAAGAAGAGGGGGACACTTTGTTCACCAGAGAACCAGAGGGAAGGACGAGAAACAATGGTTGGAAGCTGATCAAAGAGAAAAAACAACATGGAATTGAGGAGAAACTTCCTGACAGTGAGGACAATCAACCAATGGAAGAGCTTACCCCCAGAAATCGTGGGCACTCCATCACTGGAGATTTTTAAGAAGAGACTGGACAGCCACCTGTCTGAGATGATATAAGTCCTCCTGCTTGACCAGGGGGCTGGACTAGCAGATCTCCAAGGTCCCTTCCAGTTCTATTCTATTCTAGTTCTAGTTCTAGTTCTAGAGCTGGACACTATCAAAGCTGACACCAGCATAGAAAGAGCATAGAAAAACTCTAAGAAGTTGTGCAAGATTGGAAGATGTGGACAGACCTGACCCATGGAATTGCCAAGATTGAGAAATGTCCTCCTCCTCCTCCTCCTCCTCTTCTTCCAATGTGCCTACTGTATATTATCACCTTTGGAGGAAACTTCTCTATCCATTTCTCCTGGTGAGAAGGAATGGGATGCAAGATCAAAGAGGAAGAGAGGTACCTCAACTTTTGATGATGGGAAGCCATAAACAAGATGAAGGGAAGGAGAATCCACTTGTCCTTTCTGCTCATCTGGCAGAGGAAGCTATGTCCTTTGAGTAGGATGAGAACTGCAGTAAAGACATTCCCCGCTCCCCCCTCAAAAAAAAAGAGCATTGCAGTAAGTCCTGCAGTGGTGGCTGCACCAATTCCTTCTCCCACCAATCCTGCAAATTCTATAGGAGAACTTTTGACACAGCGGGATTATTTATCTGGCTGTGCATTAGGACCAGTGATGCTGTTAAGCTAATTAACAGCATTCGTTAATATCTTTAAATTACCTGTGATAGCTCCCAGGCAAAAAACAACCCCATAGCAATAGCAATGGCCTGGGCCCATCTGCCTTGGCAACTGACATGATGTACATTTCACAGTTCATTAGAACACTCCAGAGCGATTCTCTCTCCAAATTGCAACCTCATCTGAAAGAACAGACCTTGCTTTCTATTGGAGAGAGATTAGCAATTCAGAAGACTGTTTCATCGGCTCTCATTTCATTTTACCCTTTGTATAAAGCTCTGAAGACCTTTACCTTGATCCTTTCTGCCCTAGACTTACAGCAGAATGCAATCACTATCAGGGGTCCTTGGTGCTCTCTCAGCTTGGTGGTTTTCTCACAGGCATTTCATTACTCAAACTAGGTAACATCCTCAGTGCTATAAACATTAGCAGCACTGAGGATGTTACCCAGTTTGGATAATGAAATGTCTGCAAGAAGACCACCAAGCATAGAGGGCACCAAGGACCCCTCATTTCATCCCTGAGCTACAAATATTCTCCTTTATTGGCACAATCACTATCATTAACCATGGGCATGTTCAGAAAGCCTTTTGCCACATGGCAATCCAGAGTGTCATCTTAGATCTATTGGTATCAAAGACATTGGCTGTCTTCATTCAGGAAAAGCTGCTCTGGTACAGCTGGAAGACCACAATATGGTGTCCTAGGATTCTGGAGTGAGGCTTCCTCTCATGCCAATATATCCCTCTGGAATTTTATGC